TTACAAATATGGCAACATAGTTCTTGTCGATTTAAAATATTTCACAAATAATAAATATTTTTCCACGGCTCGCAAACTCTGCATCGATATATAATACTATATATTCTTGCTCAAACTTAAAGTGTACATATTTACATACATATGTTGTATATAGACAGATATACAAACGTTACGCGTGTTTATTTTCGTTATGGAATTTCTTGATTCGGTCGCCGCGCTCAAAGCCCGCGATAAAAGCTATGAAATAGCTAAATAATAATGTTACTAATATTGGGACTCCGAATATTGAATAATTTATTTTTATTAACTACATTTTTATTAAATTCCACATTTTTATTTGCCATTAAAAAAATTGTCTCCTAAAAATTATTATTTTTGAATACCCTTCTGTCTCTTTAATTGCTTTGTTCCGCTTGATATATATGAAATACGATACGCCTAAAAATATGCAAATTCTGAGCGCATAAGGTTTATTTCCGTTACGAAATTTATTCATTCAGTCCGCGAGCTCAAAGCCTGCGATAGAAGCTATGCAATAGCTTAAAACCCTGTTTATTTATTGAACATAGAAAATTTCATAAAGCATTGCATTCAAAATGGACAATTTCACAACGTGGTTACAACATTTCATTTATTTTTTATTCTTGCAATATATTACACAGAGTATAATAGTTTTGTTCAAATAATAAATCAAATGATCTGTCTTTAACACAGTTCATCTATCCGTCAGTGCAAACGATAACTTGAATAAACTTGAGATATCTTCATGAAACTTCTAACACTTGTTTCTTGGCACCTTGAAAAGGTTGATATTGCAGATGGACTGAATGAGTATATTGCTAAGCTCAAAAAATAACGTTAGTTGAAATATTATAATAATAATATACAGTATACATATTCCACAAACCACTAAAACTATATCAATCAACCTTGCAGAGGACAAGTTCTTCAGTCACCTCCTCACACAGTGCGAACATGGGTGAGAGCGGATGGTACAGAAGGGTTGCAGAATATTTGGTATACAATTTGGAGAGTTGGCGCGGCAACGATCACTGTTAGGTGACGTTCCTTAACTCAAGACGTGTCAAGACGTGTTTTTTTTTCATTTCCGTTGTCCTCTTTTCCGCCTGAGCGAATGTACGGTTTCTATTTGTGTTATAGTTATTTCACATTGTTCTTGCTCTTTGAACTGAGCTATTTAGTACAGAAAAATATATATACATATACATACATATAGTTATTACAAACTTATAGTTTGCGAACTAAGAAACATGGGCCCCCGGCCTCCCAATCTTATGGATAACAGATTTGCCTTGCTGGCCTCTAACCCCCAATCAAAACAAAAAAGAATTAAAAAAAAAAACAATTTAGGCCTTTTCTCAATCTTCCAGAAATAAAAGTGAAAAATCCTAAATACGTCATAATATCGTGCGCTGATATATGTAAATAAACCAGTAAATAAGTGTAATTGCTTTGAAATTCATTCCGCATTAAAATTAGTATACAAAGAAATCATGAAAATTACAGAACTAGGCGACGAAAGTATTTGCCTATTATTTAAAAATCAAACAACCGGCAAATCCAAGAGTTTCCACTCGCAACATCTCGGTGCACATTGGAGTTAACAGACGGTCATTACAACGGATAATTCATGATGCCTTAAACCAGTTTCTGTACAAAGTTCAAATAACAAACCGGTTAAACTCTTTAGATTTGTCTATTCGCGTAGAATTTAGCCAAAAAATTATAAGGTAAATGTAAACAAGCAAAATTGCCGTATGTGTGAATCAAATCCTGAAATAAACCCCGAGGTTGAACTTTACTCCGAACGAGTCACTGTGTGGTGCGCAGTTTCATCATGGTGTATTGTCGGGCCAACCTTCTTTGAATAAAATGGTGTAACAGTAACTGTCAATAGGCACCGTTATTTAAAGATATTGAATGAGTTTTTTTTACTCAGATCTGCGCCGAAGACGTATCTTTTTCAATAGCGTTGGTTCTAGATTCGGACACTGTATATTTATACATTTATTATAATATAACGGATTTATGTAATTTCACTGCCCTTACATGGGTTTATATGTTTCTACACTTGCGCACTTTTTATACTCTCGCAACCTGTTGCTACAGAGTATAATAGTTTTGTTCACCTAACGGTTGTTTGTATCATCTAAAACTAATCGAGTTAGATATAGGGTTATGTATATATAAATGATCAGGATGAAGAGACGAGTTGAAATCCGGGTGACTGTCTGTCCGTCCGTCCGTGCAAGCTCAAACTTGAGTAAAAATTGAGATATCTTTATGAAACTTGGTAGACATGTTTCTTGATACCGGGAGACGGTTGGTATTGCAGATGGGCGTAATCGGACTACTGCCACGCCCACAAAACGCCACTATTCAAAAACAAATAAATTGCCATAACTAAGCTCCACAACAAGATACAAGACTGTTATTTGCTATACAGGATCACAATAGGGAGGGGCATCTGCAGTTAAAAATTTTTTTTTAAAGAGGCGTGGTCCCGCCCCTAATAGGTTTAATGTGCATATCTCCTAAACCGCTAAAGCTATAAAAAAAACTTCACTGGAAGCAAATGTTTTTAGAACCTCTACCTACAGTGTGAAAATAGTTGAAATCGAATGGCAACTCCGCCCACTCCCCATATAACGGTACTGTTCAAAACTACTAAAAGCGTGATAAATCAAGCACAAAACACGCCAGAGACATTAAATTTTATCTCTGGGATGGTATGAGATGACTTTATAGGAACCGGGTTCAAAATTAGACAGTAGGCGTGGCACAGCCCACTTTTAGGTGAAAGCCCATATCTTGAGATCTGCTTAACCGATTTCAGCCAAATTCGGTGCATAACGTTCTTTTTATATTTCTATGTCAATGGGCGAAATCGGACTACAATCACGCCTACTTCCCATGTAACACCATTTTAAATTCCATCTGATTCTTTCACTTTCCACTATGCAAATAAGGCAACAATGATTGTATCGGGATAAAACTTTGCGTGAATAATGCGATTAAAGTATGCCACCTTGTGTCCAAAAATTGTCTAAATCGAACCAAAACTGTTCAAGCCCCTAAATACTAAATATGTGGACCCCAGTGCCTATAGTTGACCTTCTACCGAAAATATCAGTCAATCCACAAAGAAATCTCAATCGATGATACTATTTGACTTTGCGAGAGTATAAAATGTTCGGTTACATCCGAACTTAGCCCTTCCTTAATTGTTTTATATATGTTTTTCACCAATTTTGCTTTTTATTCAAACACTTTATATGTTAACAATTTGATTTCTTTTTTTTTTTGACAATAATAAAATAATTCCCCAGTCGGGTACCAGTGAAGCCGTGTTAATTATGTATTATATAAAGGAAATGACGAGATGAGATGTGCGCCAAGAAAACGTGCTCCGATGTGGGATGATCGCAAGTCGGTCGAAGTAAACAAAGAGGCCTGTCCGGACAGAGGTTTTGTTCATTGGGTTGTGTAGAGTTATGATGTGTTGGTATCCTGCGTGTATTGCTATGCGTAGGTGTTGCTTCCAGTTGTGTTGCATTAGTATGTGTGGTGTGTGTGCCAGTGTTGCCTTGTGAGTGGTATGTTGTGCGGCGTAGTTGAGTGCATCAGGGCGGGAAGCTTAACTCACTTAGCCAAGGAGTTTTGGTGCCAATATTTGAAAATATTGCTATCAGAAAGATGAGAGAAAGATTGCATCAAACCTTTGTTTTAAACGGTAAACAGTACTTGACCAATTAAACACCTTGCGTTAGCATTTCGTAACCGTGAGAATCGCAAATGTTATCTTTATGGACACCTTTCGCGTGGTTAGTTGTTGGTATAGTTCTTATCGATTATCATCCTCTAATTAACCTAGTTGTGCTTTTAACTTTAATTTTATTTCCTCAGTCGAAATATATTTGTGTTTAAAACGAGGATCGAGTACCGTAAAAACAAGCAACACTGAGCTCGTCCTAATAAAAAATACGCCACAGTAAAGAAGCTGTTAACTTATCTTTCAGAATAGAAATTTTTGCTTCATCACTATCGGTACGCTTTAACTTTTTTTTGAACATCGCAAATAAAGGAATTGTGACAGAGGCACATGTTGAATCATAAGACAAATCCTGAGTTGCTTAATAAAAAGGGTTAATACTGCAATTACACTACAAATGGTTTCCCACTTGCTCGCTGTCAGAAATTATACAGATTCTCGCTCGGTTATGTATAGGTTAACTGCAGCCTTCTGCTCATAAATATAACAGATTTAGCATTATATAGGTCTTCAAATAATGTATTGAATTAAGGTATGGTTTGCCAAACCAATAGTGTTCTGCATTTTTTTTTTTAAGTCGCGACATTCCTGCTCACTTCTTTTGAAATTATCCACAAGTTTTCGACATTTCTGACTTAACTCTCATTCCTCATTTTTAAAACACTTTCTTGGCTCACTAGTTGTAATGTATGTATGTGTGGTACATCCTAACCACTTCACTTTGCATTGGGGATGTCATATTGGCAGCATTGTCAGATACAACCAAAAATATATTTGGACTGATTTTATATTCTTTAATAACACTGTTTAATTCAGCATTTATATTTTCTGCAGTGTGCACAATCCTAGCAGTGAAATTTAGCAATCAGCAAGTCTTTGTAGAATTACTCCATATGTCCGTCGTAAAGCTCAACCATTTAACAAGATACTTTGAAATTGATTCAGAAAACATACATTTATATGACACCGTACTGCACTTGATAAATATGATCGAAATACTTTGTATAATAGAAAACCTACAGAACTATACAAACAACCTCTGGAGATGCAATTAGAAATCATAAGGAAGAAAATAGAAACGCTAAAGATGTTATAGAAATAATTTACAATTGTATAGGCATAATGAAAATTTAGATCCAACTAAACTGACGCCCTTTTATTTGACTTGTTTTCTGGAATATATACATTTAGTATCTACAAATCTTACTTGTACTTTTGCTTCATTTAATCCCAGTCGCTGGCTTAATTCATCTCTCATGAAAGCGTCGGGATAATGAGTTTCATCAAAAAGTTTCTCCAAATTGTTAAGTTGTTCTGTAGTGAAATTCGTTCGAGTTCGCCGTTGCTTATGACTCATTGCGGTTGCTTTTTATATTTCTGTAACAAAATAATTTAGATTTATTTGAATTCATATTGTTTTAAGGTCAAAGGTCTTAATGATGTCTAACCGCAAGCGGTCGCAAGACTTGTTGGGCTTTTAAAGTGTTTTCCACCCTACCCGCCCCATTCCTTTTAGGTTGCGACTTTGAAACAGTTAATGGAGACTGTGTTCTGCTTTTTCGTTCACTTCTATACCTTTTAGACTGTATACTCAAGTTATGTTCATTGAATTCCTTACACCGACAGTTTATCGTACGTCTCTTCGCAAAACCTATAATATATATCTATAACCTCTGGAGATGCAATTGGAAACCGTAAGGAAGAAAATAGAAACACTAAAGATGGCATAGAAATCATTTCAATCAAAGATGCCGATGTGCGATTCCTTTCGTATGGCGCAAACAAAAGAACGGCAGTGATGATTGTTACTTTTGTTTCTGTTATGTGAAAGAGTATAAATCCAAACAGAAGCACTCAACTTCTTACCCCAAACTGCAATCAGCTACTCGTCCCATTCCTCACAGGACCAAAATACGTTTCAGATTTAAAGTTTTGATCAAGATGGTGTGGTACCTGAACATGATGACTTTGCCCAAAAGACGAGTTGGTTTATTGTATCAATATTATAGGTTCGATGACCCAGCATAGTGGCGAATTTTCATAGATTCTTAAGAAAGAAGCCTTAAAGCAGTTCTGCTTCACAATAACGGTTTCTATGCTTCCATTCCTGTCGGTCATTCCGTACACCACGGTTTAAAGATAGGTGATAAGTCGGAAATCACTATGGAGTATATTGGGTGCAGAAAAGGTCTGATTACACTAACTTTTGACATTGCTCAAATATACTTGAGAACATATTTTCAAGCAATTTCATATGTGTATATGTATAACTCATCCGCTGATCGTCATATTCGGCATAAAATTTGTTAGAATAAAATATAACATCACTAATTGTTTTTTATGGGAATTAGGGTAATTCGTAGACCAATTTCACATATTTTTGACATAAAACTATAGTATATTCAATATTATATGTACAGTTTATTTTGATAAGATAAGTATCTTACATATTGGTTGATATATGCAATATAAATCCAAATGGAGGCTCAAAAATCTTTATACTAGGTAACAATAAGGGAGTTATTTAATCCTATTCAACCCATTTTTGACATACAGGCAAACAATTATCAGGAAAGGATTCTCTCCCGATACATTCATTGGTGCTTGATTTGTATACTGAAAAGTGAAAAAATCAGATGGAATTATAAACTGTGTTATATGGGAAGTAGGCGTAGCACTCTGTAGCGACATATTTCAAGGGTATAAATATTATATAATATTATATGAGAATTGTTGAAATGCTCACAAATTTTACATTTACCTATCCAATGTGCAAAAAATACGCACTTTCCGCTTTACTATTTGTCAGCTATTTTTTCCCTTTTCTCGAAACTACTTTGCTATTAATAAAAATTGTGTATGTGATGTTATACTGTATAGTTTTTAAAATATCGTATTCTTTAAGTCGCAAATAAAATTTTTATGACGAAGAGATTTAAGGTATACATATGTACATATTTTTGTCTTTTTCTTGACGATTGTGCGTAAAGTGACGACTACGTTTAAAATGCCGGAAAAATGCACAATACGTACTTTTACATCACTGGTGTGAGGCGTCATCGCGTGTGGTAATATCTTCTGTGGGGATATACCACAATAAGCAAGCTGTAAGTTAAGTAAAAATTAAGATGTATTAATGAAACTTGCTACATATGTTCCTTGGCCAAAATCGGACAAAACGCCAGTGAACGAAAACCTATAAAGTGCCATAACTAAGCACTAATTTAAAATGCAAAAATGTAATATAGTAAACGGGATCGCAGAAGCGAAGGATAATTGTGGGCTAAAAATTGGGTGTGTCCCCGCAACGTAATTGGTTTAATGTACATATTTTCCACACCGCTAGAGCTTAAGAAACCAAACTTGCTGAGAAAAAGCCCTTTTAACAGTTCTTCGTACACTGCGAAAAATAAAATCAGATAGTACCCACGCCCACTCCCCATATAGCGGTTATGTTGAAAACTGCTAAAAATGCGATAACTCTTTGAATAATTATATCACAAGCATTTGATTTCTCAATCAAGATGGTAGGGAAGAGCTCTCTGGGAGCAGGTGTAAGAATTGGTGTGTGAGGTTATCTAAACAATCCTCTCATACATTGTGAAAATGGGCGAAATCAAATGACAATTACATCTACGCCACAATAGCCTTTGAACTTTGCCCGAAAAGTGTATTTAAGGTACGCAATCTTAAATCCTAAAAAATGCGGAATCGGACAATAGCTTTTTAGTAGAATATGTGGACCTGAATGTCTATGGCTGACTTTTTACCAAAGATATCAATCAATATCTGAAGTATCTTAGTGGAATAATTTTTTTAACCTAACGATTGTTTAGTTTCTAAAACGAATCGAAATGGAGATACAAAACTCTTATTGAAAACATTTAAATATATCTCCAAAAGCTATACTTATCAACCAAAATTGCTCGAGACAGATATTTGAGACACCTCCCTCTACAGTGCAAAAATTGGTAAACTGGGAGGATGATTCCGCCCACTTCTCATATAACGAGTATATTGATAACTAACTAACTAAACATTTTCGAGACATTTAACTTTACAACTAAGACGACGCTGGCAAGCTTCATATGAATCAATATCAAAATTGTACACTGGAAGTGACATCGCCCACCTTAAGATGACAAGATATATCTCAGGAACGAGATAGATCTCCGACGTTTCGTTTTGGGAATATATAAACAACGTGATGCACTTAATAAGAGTATAAAGAAACTCTCTGAGGTTCAATGGGTATTGGGTCTAAGGCATGTTTTCACCGGATTTTATCCATTTAAGCACAAAGATGCGCTGTTATTAGAAAAATACGCTCTCTCAATTTTATTAAGATAACTCACATATTTTCCGATATATGCGGTGTTAAGTCAGTTTGAAGTACTAAAATATTTCTATCAGGTAAAAGGGGTCAACAGAATTATTGATCGGATACAATCCATTTTTGATATACAAGCATACTATTATCAAAAAAGGATTATCTCCAAATTTCTATAATACCATTTATATTCTCACAGATTGACCGATATTTTCGATAAAAAGTTAACAATATGAACTGTATTGGGGCTTAATGATTTTGGTCCGATTTTGACAATGTTTGGTCACACCTCAAAGGCACTCTTCGTTTAAAGTTGTAATAGGATATATTTATTGGTTTTTGATTTGTATACTGGAAAGTGGAAGAATCATCCGACGATTCCGCTATGGCCACGCACCCAGAAAAGTTTTATATGGAAGTAGCTTGATGCTACTGTTAGTGAGGCCATGTACTCTTTGTGTGACTTTGAGCTCACTGTCAGTGATGCGGGCCCACCAGCTGCATGACACCTTACCGTCCACTGAAGTTGCGCAAGTATAACGTCGTTGGTGTGGGAGTTTCCCCTATAACATATAAATAGATCTTTACAACAAACAAAATCGAAAAGTGACTTTCCTCCAGCATTTATATCCGCGCTCCTCAGACAGAGTGCCTCGCGTTTACATCCCAGCAAATTACTACGTTGGCCCTCGTTTGCCTGGCCTCTGTTACAGCTCTGCTTAGCAATTCCGGAGGTGGGTCCACCTCGTCGTCATCAACCAGAGCTCTCCGGCGACGTTGTTCCACCAGACGGTGGCGGCATCCTCGTTGCTGAAATGTGCTGTGTCTGAAACAGACAAGCTGTGGTTCTACCAATATGCTTATCGCCAGCAACCTATGGCTTATTGTCCTTAACGCGGAGATGCCGCTGCTACTCAGCAATTGCCACGTCCGAAGGAATGGGGTCGATTTTCATGCCCGTTAAGACATCACATCCCTTCTCCCCGGCACTTCTGGAGCCTGTGGGTCATCCGCTCTGGCGCCTTTTGCAAGGATCCGGAAAACCAGCCTCTCGAAGAAATAGCTTATGGTCCCCTTGGGGTCGCTAAGAGAACTGAGGAACTTTTTATTTAGACTTAGACTTACAGTCGTGGGTAGAGAAGGATTGTAGTATTGCATTATCTCCTCAATTTCCTCAGAGCTAGAGGGTTCAGCTTGAAGCCAGACACGAGCTAGAGGGCGTACTGGTAGATTCACTTTAGTTTAGCTCCCTTCAAAATTTCCTCCATCGTTGAGACAGCATATTTGTAGAGGAATGCCGTTCGTTCGTCAGAACACTCAATCATCTTGTGAAGGCCATGGTGGCATCCGACACTTTCCCATCTGGGGCCGCAGCTACCTGCTCCCACTCATAGCGGGAGATGGCTATATCCTCCCTACTACGGTCCAACACCCCGCATCCAGCAAGTTCAGAGATTTCGCTAAACGTTGATGCCGCTCCAGCCTGTGGCTTCTTGTCGAGGCAGGCTTCCCCCTCCTGCGGCCTCTGTCGCTTTAAAAGAGATTGGGAATCGCTCGATCCGACTCTGTTTTTATTTCCGCCGCTCAGCACTCTTTTAGCCCACTCAAGTGTGCTAGCATGCGTTTCAGATTCCTGTCCAACATTCTTTCTACCGTAGCGCTCTAAAATCTTCGGTGTTAAGCGACGATCGAATTTCAGCTTTTTCACTGCCATCACGTGTTTCTTTCCGGAACACTTAGCAACTGGCGGGCATTCGGACCCCCCATGATCCTAACAGAGGCTTTTCTGCTGATGTTGGCGATTGCATCCCGCATCGTACCCCTGCTTTCGCTACCTGTAAGCAAGTTTCTGCCAACTTTCACTATCTTACCACCCTCTTCGTGGAGTACTCCGATTTTACATTTCTTTTACCGGAAGACGGCTCCGCCTTCCCGGTTGCTAATTAGAGACAAATACATAAAATAAAATATAAAAAATTATTTTGCTATCGCAAGTAAATACGAACCGGGTCTTCCTTGCAAACAATAATTTCTTCGGAGATTGCAT